ACAGTGCCTTTAAACGCAGGAATACAGTGCCTTTAAACGCAGGAATAAACACATTAACACTAATAAACTGACCGTATGTCTGTCTGCGCAGCCTCCTGAACGGACAGGTCTCGCGGAGTCTCAGCAGAGATGACTTCCTGCTCACGGACTCCATCCAGAGAACAACAGTTTAACGTGAATCAGTAGAAACCAGGTTATTCCTTCATGTTCAGGAGCTCCGTCGGTCTGTGAACACTTCCGCTAACACGAGACATCCTCCAGACACAAGAGTCCACACCTGCTGACACCTCCGAACACACTTGAGCCTTCACAATAAAAGCCCCTTCTGCAGCCACTACTTCCTGTCTGAAGTTCCTCTTTACAGACGAACTCAGTGAAAGTATACAACTCTTAAAAGTTCACTTAAAGTTTATAACTTCGTCTTTCTTTGAGTTTAAGGCCCAATCCCAACGTCCCCCTTACAGACTCACGGACTTTGAGGCGCTCCCGCGAAGTCCGTGAGGGTTTAGTTCTGTCCCACTGTCACATCCAGTGTTTGAGGCTCTGGCAGACATGTTGAGCCCTTTATGAACCCTTTCCGTAAGTCAGCATCCAGATTTAGCCTAAGGGAATTACCCACAAGTCATTGCAATGTGACGTTAAACACGGGGTAACCAGTGGACGCATGGAGACGTAAACAAAAAGGTAAACAAAGACGGATCACGTGTGTTCAGCCTGTCATATTACGTTTACTCAGAAACATTAAGGGTTAAAGATGGAACATTAAAACATGAAATCAGAAGATATTTATTTATTTATTCATCAAATGTTTGATTTCGTCATTGAAGCTGTTTTGACAAAACGAGTAAATAGATGATATGACGTTACCTCTCATCTAGTGAGGAAAGAGCCTGAAGACGTTCACATCAGGGAGTACAAAGTATACAATAAATACACACATTATACATCATATTTATTGTTGTTTTCATGGTAACGTGATATGTTGCAGCAACGTGCTGTCCCGTTCATATTCACACCATCTCAAGCCCTCACAGTCTCTCACACTCACCCACTCACCAGGTTACGTCAGTGAGTCCCTGAGGGTTCAGGGTTTGAGGGTTTAGGGGGGACATTGGGATTTGGCCTAAGATTTTCACACCGGAAGTAACGTCATAACGTCTGGTTAAAACTAGCTCGGTAGTCTTGGTGCTTTTATTTTGAAGTCAGACTTGTATGTACTTCCGGTGTGCAGGTGTCACTTTGTTTGGTGTCACGTGACTAAAGAGGAGACTGACGATCACTGATCAACATTAAAGTCTTATTTTAAAGATTTAACAGACTTATTAACTAAAATTAATTTAAATCCATAAGCTAAATTACATGCTTTTATTGTGAAATGGGAGATTTTAAGAAACAAATGTTTTTTTTATTGAGCATTAAATATTTAATGATCCATGAACAGATTTTACAAAATGTTGAAAAAAGGACCAACATAAACAGGAAGTCGTGAACATAAACAGGAAGTCATGAACAAACAGGAAGTTTTGACAAACTGCTTCATAAAGACAAAACAGAAACGAGTGGGCAGGGCTATACAATGACCAGCTGGGGTCATTTCTCTTTAAACATTTCATAAGAATATAAGTTTATCAAAGAACAAACATTTTTATTTTCTTAGTTTTTTCTGTTTTAAATTTTTAAAAAATAAAGTTGATGAGAAATATTTAATTCTGAGGAAGTTTATCGTTTAGTGATCAGCTCTCATCCCCAGAACCTCTGTTTGCCAATGGTGGGAGTCAGCACCTCCTCGGGAGGAGACGGGCGGCTGAAGACGGAGCCCGACGCCTCAACAGTGAAGATGAAGTAGAAGTTAGCCGCCATCATGGCGACACTCGGCAGGAAGGAGAGTCCGAACCCGAAGCCCCGGATACTGCTGCTGAACGCTGCAGCCACCCAGTAAACCAGCCTGGAGACACAAAACAAACACACCTTTAATTTAAAGTGTAAACCTCTCATCAGCTGTAAACAGACTAATAAAGTTGTGTTTGAATACCTCTCATCAGCTGTAAACAGACTAATAAAGTTGTGTTTGAATACCTCTCATCAGAGGTA